TGACCAGGATGGTCTCGATCTCTTGACCTCGTGATCCACCCGCCTCGGCCTCCCAAAGTGCTGGGATTACAGGCTTGAGCCACCGCGCCCGGCCTGATATTTCTTAATTTATAATTGAGACCATTTAATAAACCTGTGACCACAAACTCCAGTTCCTCCAGTGCCTACTTCCAGATCTCTATGGGTCAAGACTGGGCAATGCACAATGAGTGGAGCCGTGCTGGGCATTCTCTTCACTCTTATTCTTACGAACTACTTCAAAGAGCATGGGCACATTCTCCTTGCCATCTTACCAAGAATGAGAAGGGTGATTCCGTTAAAAACAGCACCAACATAGGTCATCAGCCACATGAAGACAGCCAGCTGTGAAGGCCAATGTCAAAAGGTTAAGCAGGAATAACCATAAGGCAAAATGCACATTAACTGATGTCATTCTCCTCCAGCTAATTAAGTAAGTCTGGATACATTTATTTAGTGACGTGTGACATGGATAACTTCAAATGAAGGTTCCCTGCTTGTGTTATTCATTTGAAGGTAAGTGAGAGAATTCTGTGGTTCTCTTAGGTCCAAAGACTAAAACTGCACTGCTACCAATTACATCACCTCTGTTCTGATGTTTGTTCCCCAGCAAAAGACTTTTTCTTTCTCTAATGACTCCTATCCCATTACAGAATGACTGAGATAAGCATATGTTCATTTCTGTCTGATAAAATCCTGTGTACTGCTTTTCTTCTGTATTATAATCCAGTCCCTGCTTTTTCTGTTTGATATTTCTTAATTTATAATTGGGACCATTTAATAAACCTGTGACCACAAACTCCAGTTCCTCCAGTGCCTACTTCCAGATCTCTCTGGGTCAAGACCAAAAGCTGCAGAAACAAACTAACCTTCAAGGAGTCAACCAGATCTTCTACCAGAAAGAGACGAATAATGAGTTTCAGGGCCCTGTTGATGTGCACCATGGCAGCATTCATGTAGTTATGGAAAGCTTCTGAGGACAGAGTAATGTCTACATCCAGGTAGGCTCTTCCAGAAGAAGAAACAACAGTCATACATTTGACATGGAAGAAGATTTTGTTAACACAGTAGTGACTGAGAATGTAAAATTGGTGCCCAGGGTGCATTTTAGAATCTGTAGGAGCATTTTTTTGTTGTCATCAGGTCGGGTGGGGACACACTATCATCCAGTGGGCAGAGGCAAAGATGCTAGATGTCTGCGTGAGACAGTCATGCACAGTAAACTGTCCTATGTTTGGTGTAACTTTTACTGTCTCATTGCATATTCATGAACGTCAATCCATTTATAATTAAGAGCCCAGAACATATAAAAACAAGGTACCTTTTTTTCCCAGCAGTTTTAACATATCCTGAAATTTCTAAAACTGTATTTTGTTTATGCTAAAATTTAAGGTTTTCTTTTGAAACATTTTGGAAAACCACATTTGTATTTGTAATTAAGAGCCCGGAACACATAAAAATAAGGTATTTTTTTTTTTAGCAGTTTTAATATATCCTGAAGTTTCTTAAACTATTTTGTTTATACTAAAACTTTACTGTTTTATTTTTTAAAAAACGTTTTGGAAAACCATATTTGTACTGACGATTATACAGATAGGTCCAAGTATCTTGACTTTTTTTGGTGTAGTCATGTCCAAGCAATTAAATACTGACTGAAAGACAGATTCTTTTATTATAAATAGCTATTTTATCATACCCTTATATCACAATTAGAATATATATTTTTAAAAAATTTAAAAAACTATGTGCCACTGCACTCCAATCTGAGCAACAGAGCAAGAGTCCACCTCAAAATAAATAAATAAAATAAATTAAAAAAATTTTTTAGGCCAGACTTGGTGGCTCACGCCTGTAATCCCAGCACTTTGGGAGGCAGAGGTGGGCAGATCACCTGAGGTCAGGTGTTCAAGACCAACCTGGCCAACATGGTGAAACCCCATCTCTACAAAAATACAAAAATTAGCCAGGTATGATGGCAGACACCTGTAACCCCAACTACTTGGGAGCCTGAGGCAGAAGAATCACTTGAACCTGGGGGTTGCAGTGAGCTGAGATTGCACCACCACACTCCAGCCTGGGTGACAGAGCCAGGTTCCGTCTCAAAAAAAGAAAAAGAAATTTTTAGAGATGGAGTCTTGTGATGTTGCCCAGGCTGGTCTCCAACTCCTGGCCTCAAGCAGTACTCCTGCCTTGTCTTCCCAAAGTGGTAGGATTACAGGCTTGGCAAATGAAACACTTTATAATTCTGCAACACTAAGCAAAAGAAGGGGGTAAAAAAAACCACTAAGACATCAGAGCTTATTGCAAAATAGTAAAATTTATCCACTCATTCAACAATATTGACTTGTTAAAACTAATTTGTGGCTCACACCTGTAATCCCCAGTACTTTGGGAGGCTGAGGCCGGAGGATCATTGAGCCCAGGAGTTTGAGACCAGCCTGGGCAACATAGTAAAACTCCATCTCTAACGAAAAATAAAAAAAAATAGCTGGGTATGGTGCATGCCTGTAGTCCCAGCTACCTGGGGTGCGGTGGTGGGTTGAGGCAGGAGGATTGCTTGAGCTCGGAAGTTCAAGGCTGCAGTGAGCTGTGATCACGGCACTGCACTCCAGCCTGGGCAACAGAGCGAGACCTTTACTTAAAAAAGAAAAAACAAGACAGGTGCAGTGGTTCATGCCTGTAATCGCAGCACTTTGGGAGGCTGAAGTGTAAGGATCACTTGAGCCCAGGAGTTAGTGACCAGCCCAGGCAACACAGCAACATGTTGTCTCAAAATAAATAAAGAAAATAAAAAGAAAAAAACACCACAATTTGCATTTATTATTGTTTTTTGAGATGGAGGGAGTGCAGTGGTGGGATCTCGGCTCATTGCAACCTTTGCCCTCTGGGTTCAAGCGATTCTCCCGCCTCAGCCTCCTGAATGGCTGGGATTACAAGCCCCCACCACCACGCCTGGCTAATTTTTGTACTTTATACATTTGAGACAAAGTCTTGCTCTGTCACCAGGCTGGAGTGCAGTGGTGATCTCAGCTCACTGCAACCTCTGCCTCCTGGACTCAAGTGATTATCCTGCCTCAGCCTCTGGAGTAGCTGGGATTACAGGTGCCACCATATTGAGGTAATTTTTTTATTTTTAGTAAAGACAGGGTTTCACCATCTTGGCCAGGATGGTCTCAATCTCTTGACCTCATGATCCACCTGCCTTGGCCTCCCAAAGTGCTGGGATTACAGGCGTGAGCCACCACGGCTGGCCTATTTTTGTATTTTTAGTAGAGACAAGGTTTCATCACCATGTTGGCCAGGCTAGTCTTGAACTCCTGACCTCAAGTGATCTGCCCAACTCAGCCTCCGAAACTGCTGAGATTACAGGCATAAGCCGCCGCCCCCAAACTACAATAACATTTTTAATGCCACATAGAGTTGTAAATTATTCCTTCTATTTCCACCAAGAGAAGATACAAGCAACATAGGTGCGGCCAGAAAACTATTCTTTTGTAGTCCTGAGAGGTCACAGCAAGGTCTCCTTCTCTATGAAAAAACAACTTTTTAGAAACTGTCTATAATTCAATCAGGACAGTTGCAGGTGGGCAAAAAACAAAAACAACAAAAAAACTGTCATTTGCTCATGTTAAAGTCAACATTGTTTATGGGGTAAGATTTTCAAGAGGAAAGTGTGAAGAAAACATTTGTTAAAGTTATGGCACAATCAGAAAAGCTAAAAATTGTATACTAGAGATGTAGTCAGAGAATCTACTGACTTCACTAAGACTTCATTAAGACTCTAGTATTAAGAAAACTAGTAAGAGATAAGGGGAAATCAGTAATAAACCAAGAGTGAAAACACTGAGACCTGATATTATCAACAGCACACACTCAACAACAAGATTCAAAGCCATTTTAAGCCTTACTTATGTGGGGGTTTAAACATACACTTCGGGCCAGGCAGAGTGGCTCATGCCTGTAATCCCAGCACTTTGGGAGGATGAGGAGGGTGGATCACAAGGTCAAAAGATCGAGACCATCCTGGCCAACATGGTGAAACCCCGCCTCTACTAAAAATACAAAAATTAGCTGGGTGTGGTGGCACTCGCCTGTAGTCCCAGCTACTAGGGAGGCTGAGGCAGGAGAATTGCTTGAACCCAGGAGGTGAAGGTTGCAGTGAGCCAAGATCATGCCACTGCACTCCAGCCTGGCAACACAGTGAGACTCTGTCTCCAAAAAAAAATTAAAAAATAAATAAAACCATGCACTCAGGACCTCATCTAACTGAACACTGCTCTAGGTGCTCTGCTTTCCCTGCCCTGCTCAAGAATTTAGAGTCCTCTATGAAGGACTCCCTTCAAGGACTCCCTCTTTGAACTTCAAGTATCAGCCTTTAATTTGTCAAAAAGTTCTGGCTCCTAACTTGGCCACTTCTTAAGGTGATTTCAAGGTTTCCAGGGAATGCTTCATGCCACCAATCAGCTGCATTAGGCCCCATAATTCATGATTTTTGGTCAGGTCTGAGTTTTATACTTATCGGCCTCAGTGAACCCTTCCACTAAAATGTAGACTGTTGCTTTTAAGACTTCAACTCACTTGAATGGATGACCTTCTTCTGACTTCTGTACAGCTTGGATGACAGACTTGTAGACCCTGAAGCTGATGGTGACAGAGAGAAGAGCCAGGATGAGGTAAGAAACCACACTGATGACACTGAAAGCTGCCAGGGAAAGCAGCATGATCAGTGTGGTGCCAAAGACAAACCCAGTCTTCTTCACATCTCGCCAGAAAATCAGATCGTGCACTGACAAAAGAAAAGGAAATACAAGTTATAAGAAAACCCAGAGCCACTATGTCTTGCATACCTGTGGAGCCTCACATTAGCACAGAAATACAGCTATGTCCCACTTCAAGAGAATCTGGTTTTGTTTTTTTAAAGAGATGGGGTCTCACTACGTTGCCCAGGCTGGCCTGGAACTCTGGGCTCAAGTAATCATCCTGCCTCCTCCTGAGTAGCTGGACTACAGGTGTGTGCCACTGTACCTGGCTCTAAGAGAATCTTATAAATGAAAATCAAATTACGTCACGAGTGATGACTCACGTGGCAAAAGGTTCTTCTGCTATACTGATTAGGTTTCAGAATAGGTTTATAGGCCGGGCGCGGTGGCTCAAGCCTGTAATCCCAGCACTTTGGGAGGCCGAGGCGGGTGGATCACGAGGTCAAGAGATCGAGACCCTCCTGGTCAACATGGTGAAACCCCGTCTCTAC